GTTGTACAACGATTGTAATGTAAATGATAGACTTGTCTAAGCACTTGCATTGTCGGCGATACTCTTAGTGGTAGACAGTTATCGCGTAACCTCTCGCGCTTTACGGAGCCGTAGTACCGCACACAAGAATGTCAGTATTTTTCTTATCGTAGTGCTTATATAAATGTGCTTATATAGTGTATATAAATCAATTTTGTCAGTAAGTCGTTGATACTTCTTTATAGAAAAGCAGTAGGCGGCAACTATACAGAAAGCACTTGGAAACCGTACTGTTAAGCCCGAAGTTGGTTTTTTGAGATCTATATAGCATCCATATATTAAATTTTGCGGTAAACGTTGTCACCGTCTGTGAAAGGGTTAACGGTCATCGCCCTCTTCTATATTCTTAGATTCTGTTATAGCCTGGTTAAAAATGTACTAAAAATAATGAACCTAACCTAGGCATTTCAATGCCCGTGCAATCCAACACAATATAGTCTTGTACACTAGAAATTTTTAGTGTCATGGCCCAAAGTAATAACCATAAAATATTTTCAAATAAGATAAACGAATATTATCTCTGCGTCCAGAAAAAACCCCTTAATTTGCTTTTATGTGTTCATTTATCACGTTACATGGAATAAGATTCCAAGGTAACGTGATACGAACGAAGCATAACATTAACATACCCCAGAATTTTATGTGATCTATTTATATGATTTGTGGTGAACTTGTCGTATTTTGTATGTAGTTCACCGTTTCGTATTTTCATTGTTCAAGCAGAATTTTTCTTACACGTACGTAACTTGTAAATTTTCTTTGTACATCTGCCAATAAGGCGTTATCCGCTCACGCGATACATGCAGCCGTAGACGCATACCACACCTAGAGGTGCCGGTGATGATTTTATACCGATTTATCCGGGTATCGAAGTTATAACAGGTAAAAGAACTAATATTAATTGCTATTTCGGTAACTACTCTAGCAAACCATAAAGTTTTTAATGCCTGGGTCTGTCATTTAAAAAAAATAAACAACTTCAAAAATACGTCACGACAATCGTGTGTGTTATTGTTTGGGCTGGTGATTTCGGTGTTTATTTATTGAAAACATACCGTAAGTAGCATTTTTTAAGTTTTCCCTGAATATAAATGTTTATAAACTATACTTTAAGGAGTAATTTCATGGTAAATGTTAGAACCACTCAAACGGAATATTATCATATTTATCCAAGTACACCAAAAATTTAATTAGTGCTTTTTAAGTGCAGGATTTGTGGTGTATTACTGCATTTTATTTGAGATGTTTTTTTGGTAGTACGGAGGGTATTTATTTAGCAATGCAGAATAATAATTATTATTTATAAAAACTTGTAGTTAAACTGAATCCTTTTCTAATTTGCGAAACCAAATAGCCGCCATTTTGCGGTAGGAGGAGCGCATCGTTTGAGCGGCTATTTAGTAATGGTCGGAGTAACAGAAACAACAGATGTTTTCTTAGTAGCAGTAGGGCTCCTTGTGAAACAGGAAAGTGCTACCACCTTACCTATTTCTGCTGCCAACTAATGCTCACATTACTGCATTCTGGTTTTGAAGGGTAAGAATGATGGTAAAATTACGGACACATGGGTCTTGTCGACTTATGTCTCAGGGCATAGTAGCAGTGCCCTTCAAGTCTTCGCGATTTAAAGCTCTGAGTAACACTGCAACTGTTATGGACAGTATAGTCCTAAAGTAAAAGAACCATTGATACGATAAGAAGAAGAATCGACTTACATACATACATTTGAAAATTCACCTAAATGATTTTCGTCAGCCAAAAAATAAATATTCAGTGTTATCCTCTGTGGCCAGACCAACAATAAGTAGTACGATATAAGTCTGGAGTTAGGGAAGAGTATATTTTCTAAAGACTGTAAAAAATAGAAAGAAGAAATGTTTGGATATCTCACACATAGTGACAAATTTGCAGAAGTTTTAATGAAGAGGAAGATAAGAAAAAGGAAAGAGAGGAAGTGCAAGAATAGCGTCGAGTAAACAAATAAAGGAGAACGTCAAAATGAGCAGTCATAAAAAGGTCAAGGAGCTGGCTATGAACCGTGAAGAGTGGAGGAAATTACACCGACCAGAGCTTTCCTCTTAAATTTTAAAAAGGAAAACACTTAAGCCGATACCACTTCAAAGTATTTTCTATTTAAGTACGCCTAGCTTATTTCACAATGTTTACCACCACGAGAAGTGAAAACATCTCGAAAATGGATTTCAATAATCTGTATCTTCAATAAACCTTTATTGTGTAAAAAATCATACCAGTAGATATCCCTGTGCCCTCTAGCAATCGGATTTTCTCAAAATTGTACTATGTTTATCATACTTATCGATGACCAGTACTTCCTACCGGGAAATATATACGAGTAAAAGGTTTCGCGCGGATGAGAGATTGAAGCGGATTTGAGAAAAGTTCATTTATGAGTATAATGTCATTTACATAGCATAAGAATTTTTCGTGTCTATATACACACATCAAAAGTGTCTAGGGATCAAGTACGTTTAAGAGTATTGCTGCAATTAGGGTTAATTATATTAACTTTTTTGTATCGCTATTGATACTTTTTAGTGAGTTTTAACATTTAAATAAGGAATATTGTTTAAAATTCGATAATAAGAAGAAAATCGATTGTCAATGTGGTTTTGTATAAAAATGAGTTATAGCGTTTTGACAAAATCATTACAATATCTGCATCGGAACCGAAACAATTTACATTATTATGGAGAGACGACATCATTTAACCCGAGAAGTGATGATGCGAGCCGTCGGAATGTTGGAAGCTGGTTCCAGGCAACGTGCTGTGGCTTTCACTCTTAACACTACACAGAGCGTCATAAGTCGCCTCTGGACGCGCTATCGCATGACGGGCAGCGTGGCCGAGCGACATGGAGGAGAATCTCGCATCACGACTCGCAGACAGGACCGGTATATCCAAAATATTGCTCGACGGAATCGTACCATGACCGCCATGATGTTGGTTACGAGGCTCCACAGCTCCTCAGGCTTGCTAATAAGCGATCAAACAATCCAAAATCGTTTACGTGAAGTGGGTCTGCGATCCCGAAGGCCGCTCAGAGTTCCAACTATTGCACCCTGCAATCGCAGGACCCGTTTACGATGGGCTCGCGAACACAGAAACTGGGAGGAAGAAGACTGGCGCTATGTGTGCTTTTCGGATGAATCCCGCTTTGGTATGAGACCGGATACAAGACGTACTCTAGTTTGGAGAACATCTGGACGTCATGAACGTTTGAGATATTGCCAGGAAGTTCATCCATATGGTGAGGGAACAATAATGATATGGGCCGGTATTTGGATCGGCGGAAGAACCGATCTCATTTGGATCAGGGGTAACCTCAATGCTCAAGTTTACGCAGAGAGGATTGTTTCAGATGTTATCATCCCTTTGCGAGGCCAGTTGGGTGATTCATTTCAACTAATGCATGACAACGCACGTCCACACACGGCTAGAGTCGTAACACGCATTCTTGCCGAAGCTCGTATCAACGTTCTGCCGTGGCCTGCTCAATCGCCAGACCTCAATCCAATTGAGCACGCATGGGATATGCTTCAAAGAAGAGCTGTGCCGAGTATGCATACCGTACATACTCTACAACAATATTTTGACTTGTTACATAACACATGGGCGGCCATTCCTCAAAGTGATTTTGATGAACTCATCTTAAGCATGCCAAATCGCATCGTGTGATTCGTGTTAATGGTGGAAATACAGATTATTAATTTTCTTATCTTTACAATAAAAATGAGCAAAATCATCATTTTCCCCATTTTTTTGTCATTTAATTGACGCAGTTAATTTGAGTTTTTTCGCACAATTTGCAAAAACATCAATTTTAGTTTATTTTAATTAAATATAGAGGTAAGCGGTTAAATAAAACATAAGCATTAAAGTAAGAAGTCGTCCTGGAAGACTGGATTTGGTAAATATTGCTTAAATAATTTTTATTTCAAAAATATTCACTTGATCCCTAGACACTTTTGATGTGTGTAGTTAGTTACATGTACATTTTGTATTATGTCGGTTTGTCCTGTTTATTAATTTTTTGATGATTTTTTTTTATTGCTCACTCGCCACGGGCTTGCTGAAAATCAGCGCCACGATACGGTTTTTTTTTTAAAAAGAGAAACCGGTTGTTATGGCTATAGCTGAGTAAGTCCCGTTTGTAGCCGCAGACGCGACACGCATGACGGTAAATTTCTGCTTATTTATACATATTTTATCAACATATTGTTGTAATATTCTTCTTATTTAATTTATTTTTTGTCCAGTTTTTTTTTGTTTATAATTCTTTCTTTCTTTCTTAAAAATTAAACAATGGATGAGTAAAAGAGTAATTATTATCTTTTTCTTTCTAAAAAAGCGAATATATCATTGCTGTTTTAGAATATTTGACGGTTGGGACTTCAAAAACCAAATTATTTAGTGGTGGGTAAGGGGGAATTTCTAGCAGTAAAACCCAACGTGAGACGAGTATGGATGGACGCCTGACGCGAGCCATATATGGATGCAAACATGCATTATCTCGCGACGTAACATTTATTATTGAATTGAAGCGTCCGCTCGGTATTTAAAAAATGATATCAAATATTACGTGTTTGTTGTTGTATTTATGGAACAAGTCCCTCAAGTTCAGAATTGTTCTGCATTTAATTTACATTTCTTAATCGTACTCCTATAATCGAGTTGCCAATCCAAGATGAAGTATATTACATTTCACAAAAAATATTTCAATATAACATGAGAATACTGTAAGGAATACATTATTATTTTTTTAATTTTGTTTACAACTAAAATATCAATGTGACAACCCTACGCTCCGAAGTACATGTAGGACTTAACAGTTCAAATACGTGCGAGAATTGCACTATTTGTTGTGATGTAAATGAGTAGTTTTTTGCCCATTAAAAACAATTTTATCCTCTAAGGTATAAATAATAAAGTATAATTTTACTTACATGGAAATGTTAAGAAAAACAGAGAGCAGAAATTCGTTGTAGATCGCCATGGAGATGAACCGACTCTCGTTGAACTCCGAAGGTGCCTTGCGCACCATGATGCAAAGCCTGATGCCCCACATCAGAAATATTACTTCCACTGGAACAAACAAAATTGGGTTTAGACGATTGAAGATAATTGCATTCTCAAACATAAAGTAACGCAATTCCAAATGCAACATATTTGGGAAACTGACGAAATATTGGGCAACGTATTTTATTGTCTTATTTTGTGCTACATTCCAAAAAAATGGTTTTGAAACCCATCATCCTATTTAAGAGCTAAGCTCTTGTTGGTGTAGCTTCCTTTATTCATCACAATCCGTATCCAGCTTCTTGACTTCTGTGTAGCTGATCGATGATCTTCTCTCCCAATGCCATTTATTATTGAAATAATGAGGCTTGTATAAAAATTTTATATCATTATAGAGCTTTCTAATAGCTAACTCGTTCCGTATGTATAATATATAATGCCGCATGTAGGGTCTTAGCACATGTCCGGGATCTTCTACAGATTCTCAGATTCAATTCTATTATTGGAGACTTGGTTTCGATTTAAATTCTTATAGAATATTTGCTCCCTACATTCTTTGATAAATTTTCTCCACAAGGTCGATTTTATTATATTTGAATAATTATAACGAGATCATAGCTCATTATTTTTTGTCAACGGACCAAATGTTGCCAATTACGGAGAATTTATCCCAAGAATAACGTCTAATGCTAATTTCTGACCAAATTATTTCGGGTACCAACTCTGGTAACATTTCTTTTTGAGGTTCTTGAGCTTTCTTAGCAATATTTTGTTATTTGTGTTTTTGTCTGCTAAGTTTTCAGACTTTCAGCAAGCATTATAATCTTAAAATTGAAATTTGCAAAACAAGAATTTTATAGTAAACACTCCAAAGCATATTTATTTTACACAAAACAAGTATTACTATGATCAAAAAACACCTCAAATATTGATTCAGAGTCAACTTTGGAAACTGAACTAGTTGTTTATGATGTTAGTAATATAATTCTCCGAGTTTGTTGGTATTTTAAAAAGAATAATAATAAATTAAAAAGAAATTCGACGCTTTATTATTAAAGATGCGTTGTAACGATTAAGATATAGACATATGCTACTTACGCGTAGTAAAAGAATGGTCCCACCAGTCAGTATTACAAAGGTACGCCTTTAGGTCGTCCTTGGTTCGCCCAACTATGACAGCCGGGGGAGCAACTAGAGTCCTTATGGCGAGCAGCACGCAAGCCACTCCGACGATGATGCCAATACGCCTTAGTAGATACATGTCGGAGATTTTAACTGCTTTTGCTGAACGCACTTGGAAGATCACTGATATCCTGTAAGAAATTAAAATATTCAACTATACCTTTAGGAGTCACTGGAGGTGAAGCGGGGAAAACTGTTTTGCTAGACCAAATGGTATACGTATTTACTGTTAAATAATGGTCTTACAAAGAATATACGAAAACACCTAAGGAATAATATTCTGGGTATAATCTACCTGGGCACACTTGGAAGTCTTTAAATAGACTGCGGACCCAAGTCGGCCGAAGCAAGCACGCACAGGTGGGGTTATAGCTCTGAGAGCGCATGTATTTGTGGTTTCTCTCCCCAGACTGTGGCACATCTTTTGTCTTGTCCTACGTGCCCCTACACCTGCACACGCGAGGATCTGTACAGCGCAACTGATAATGCTGTGTCATTTGCTGAGTACTGGTCCTCACAAATTTAAATGTCAGAGTCGACACGTTAAGAACAAAAAGAAGAATTTGCTAATTTGTTACACGATAAGGTGTGCTTTACTTGATTATACAAAATTGTAAAAACATGGCTGAAATAAAAATCTAAAAAGAATTATTTAAGTATAAAATATCTATTCTAATGAAGTTTGACAAAACCCAGGTTCTTGCAAACGAAGTCTGTTATCTACCCAGGATGCTGCGAGAGGCCATTGAAATTAAAAAACATCCTAATTTCAACAGGGAAGATGGTTTCTACGTACCACCAGTTTGGGATCCAGTATTTCCCCTAATGAAAACCCAAAGAGACATAAGACTGCAGTACTAATTAATATGTTTTAGTTTATTCCAATTTCTATTAATAATTAATAATAAATTGAACTTAATAAAAATTCAGTCAATAAAATAATTTGTAAAATTAAAATTAAGGTATTTAATTCGTAACTATAGTGAAAAAATAGGGTGGTTTGCATCAATATTAGACATAACTGGTTGAAGACTGTACCACCTCAGTCAACCGTGACCATGGGACCTGTAAAGGGCCCGAAACGTCGGTTTGTTTGAAAAATCAAATATACGCGATTTAAATCCGGAAAAATAGTTTCATTTCCTATGTGTAACAATCGCGAAAACCTAAGAACTCGATATATAAAATATCTAACTCAGCACACAATTTTTATACGGAGACATTTCTTTTTAAGTAGGTTCTGCACATAACCTGCAAAATTTTGGGTTTCAACAGAAGCTCTGTAGTTATTAAATCCACTTTTATCCCAAAATTTGAAAATTACCCAGTGGTTGAAAATTTAAAGAAATTGTACCTCTAAGGATGGCAAATTAGGGGATGAATACGGCTTATTAGATTTCACCCTCTTTTCGTTAACCGATTTCAATAAGACTCGGCAAATGGATAGAAGATTCCACAAACTTTTGAGATCGGTTGTTTTAATAAAAAAATTGTTAAGTTGTGTCACAGACACCAGTCTCTTCATACACGCTCGTTATTCTAGATACTTTGAACATGGCCTTTCTTAAAGTCTTATTATGTATTTATAATTATTTAATCCGGTTTCAGTTTTTAATTTTTTCGTCTTCATTATTATCATACTTTAATCTATATAATATAGAACAGTTGTAGCAAAGGCAAAAACATTTCGAAAGGTTTCAATTCACCGAAAAGCAAATGTACCATATCTTCGTATTTCAACAAACCTTTCACTTCAATTTGCAGTCACAAACACCGGAGCATTTCCTTTAATATCTTTCGCCTTAAAAGTATTGAAATCGTCGGTCAAAAAAGGTCTATAAGGATCAAAGGTATATTTTAACCAATGAAAACCCTATGGGAACCTTTCAAATTACTCTCAATACCACTCATTGGCTGGTAAATGGAAAAAAAAGTATAACGTCAGAGCTCTTATTCCCAAAAGTATTCGGAGCATATGTGCGTTAGAAATAGGTAATTTTGATTGCATATTGAAGTCCCAAGAGATAATTCAAGAGAACTTCCCATGGATGTATTAAAATTTGACACATTTAGAAACTTTCAGGCCTAAGTACCAGGTATGAGATTTTAAATAGATTAGAATAGAATAGAATTATTTATTTCGGACCATGATCCATAATAATGTTAGTAATACAGTAAATTTTACTTACGTGCTATGGTTAGTACAATACAAAATTACTTAATTTTAGTGAGAAGTGAGCCTAGACCACTACCCTACGCACGTGTAGTTGCACCCAATGTAGTTGGTAGGGGCAGTCCAGCCTATTGGCAACAACGGTTAGGATGCTATTAGCGCTGCCGCGTACACGCATCATAAGTGAGGCAGCCTTCTTGCGCATAATGGCATGAAAGCCACCTGTGTGCGCCTTCGTGAACATTACATGATGCACTACAGTGTCGCGGCAGTTTAAAACCAAGTTCGGATTATCTTTGTAAGAAAACAACCCCAATCAGATACTAATAATTTGAGTCGTTCTTCAAACATCCGGACAGCTATCGGGATGCTACAACGTATATCATGTTCCATCGAATCCCATTCGTACATAATTATACAGCTGAACAGTACTCCCAACAAGATTGAAGCTTGTTCCAAACTAATCGGCCTATCATTCAACGGCAGAGAATAGAAAGGACTTTGCAATGACAAAATTAATTTCGGCCAAGAATAATAGAGTAATTATGGACGACAATGCCTTGCTTTCGAAATTTAACGATTGGTTCACAATGATGGTGATTAAAAATAGCTTGTTAACAAATTGTTACCGAGTCTAGATAGTGCAGATTCTAAATTTCAAATGGACGACAACCGAACGGGTTTTCCAGTAAGGACATAAAAATTTTGTATTTTAATAAAATACGGAATAATTGAGTCATCGAGCGAAAATTTATTCCACGTACAATAAACATGATACATTTAAGAATGGAATTAGATCTTGTTCGTATGACCACCGTAGCTTGACGTGATGCCAACTGTACACGGGGTCTTAAGCGGTTAAGTATTCCAAAATCGAACAAATTTTAAAATACGTTCAACAGCACAGCTTTACATCTTAAATTCTAAGCAACTCATGCTAACAACGCTTCAAAGCTATATATTCTTGTCTGCACCACAACTTACCGCCAAGTTTTCAACATCAAAGCGCCGTAGGTAAGGCAGAACCCCACCTCTCGCAACCAGACTCTGGCTGTGCATGTTAGGACGGTCGGTCTTCCGTACATCACCAAGGTCGTGCAGTAGATCAGCAATGCTCCGAGGACGATGACCCGAAGAAGGGCTGGACTTGCTGCTCGAACCACCTGTGGAATATTTAGACTGCTACAGTTCAACTGATTGACTTTTTGAATGAACTTTAGTAGCAGTAGAGCTCCTTGTGAAAGAGTTCGTCCAGGCAAGTGCTGCCACCTTACTTATGTCTGACGGAATAATAATAATAAAGCATTTATTCCTCCCAACATGTACATCGTGTAGTCTAGGTACTATAACAGGCAAAAAGACAGGAGCTCTAAGTAGGTTAGGCCTGAGCTATGAGTCTCCTGGCTTCCAACGCCCGATTACATTACAAATACTAGGTTATCATTGATGATTTTTGACATAGGGATGCCAAAAACAAAAAAGAAACAACACATTTGAGTAGGTGTGTCTGGATGTTTGTGTGTGTTGTGCGTGCGTGCGTGCATGTGTATGTATGTGTGTTGTGAGAGGATGTCTAATAACGCAACACTTCTATTAGTCACATAATTGTGAACTAATCGTAAGCCGCTAATGTGCCGTGAACAGAATCACGGCAATAAAATAGGATACTTCGGTTCATATAAATTTACAAGTATTTTTTTATTGACGAGAATGTGTCGGGCCTACAATGACCTTATGGCTGACCCTGGCTATGATTTAGGGATGGATATATTTGATGGTAATGTTAAAAGATTTCGCAATCGAATCCACAACCACCACGGTTTCTCTCTTTCAAAGTTATAATCATAGTAATTCTATTTTATTTAAGGTTACAGTTTTATTTATGCCTAAGTATTTTATATTAATTTACAAACAATTTATATTTCAAACAAAATTGTTACTCATGATTGGTCATGCTGTATGTACATGTTTAGGTTTACATTCAAGAGTAGAACTAGTAGTAATGTTTAAGCTTTGGTTAAGGAGTGAATGTAAACTGTTTTGTACATCTAATAAAAAAAAAAGTAAAGTTAAAAGAAACAGGATGTAACAAGAAAAGGGTGTAAAAAATAGGTACAACGCTATAAAACCCTACTTAAGTACTAAAAACGTGAGACAGATTTACCCCGAAAGTCTAATAATATAAAATAACTACATAACCTAGTAATTAAAAAAAAAGTACTAACCTAGTAATATAACTCAGCCAGTTATATTATAGTAATATAACTCAGCCAGTTATATTACTAGGTTAGATTGGTATTAAAATTGGCACATGGTCTGGGAACTGGCAAAAGGATCAAAATGAACGAAGTGTTGTGAACGATGATCAAAGTGTCCACAAAAGGAACCAGAGAAAAGTAATAAAAAAGTGGGATGATGATGGAAGGAGGTCACAGCGTCACTCAGTCACCTCGTAGCTAAGTCTTTTAAGCCAGCTTGAAAAACGGCAGGAATCCTGGTGAAACTACAGGCATATAGAATTTCCCAAATTTATGTCTCAAGGTGACGAACGCAGTGGTAGAGCCCTTCAGTTATTATCGATTTAAAGCTCTGACTGCAACTGTTATGGGTAAGTGTGTCGCTTATTGCCTGGCGCATGACTCATTCGTCCCGTCACCTGAGACCATAAAAAAATCTAAATGTCTGATCTACCACACTTCTATAATTTAGGCGAATCGGATCTCTATAACGTATCACCGATGCGTATCAAGATCTAGTTCGGATGTGACAGGTATGTTTTATGATCGTAGATCATTTGGCGTCCAAAATTGCGATTACTATTCGTGTCACAATGGAAGAAAGAAACAAAGGAAGTACCTTAAGCCTCAATTACTATTAGAAGCGCTGTCATCAAAACTCACCAATTGAAACACTATGAAATCTTAATAATTACAGGTCGTAGTTTCAAATTAAAAAATACATACAGTTGAAACTTCAATACTTATTATTGCAAGGTAGGATGTACGGGTCACGTACAAGATTTAGACGCTGAGTTTGCGCCCTACTTTACGTGAATCGACTGATGAACTTTTTATTATAATTTAGTTGATTCAATAACTCTGTCGCAATCGGTCACATAAGCATCCATATAATAACTTGTATTTAAACAAAAATAAACTTTACGATTGTACGTCAACTCTATAACTTAACTAACTACAACTACAACTAACTTAACTACCTACAATCAAGACGTCAAAGTCCATACATAGGACATTTTGATTTTATCAATCAATGGCTACCATCTAGCGGTCAATAGATGGACGACGACGAATTTGAGATATTTACTTAGTTCTCCAAAAAAGAACCGACCATATTGCAGGAGTATAAGATTTACTTTCGTTTCATGAAAAAAAAAAGAAATATAACGACGAACAGAAAATTGAAAATTTATTAAATCTAAATTAAATAAGACTTATCGATGATATTATTATAAAGTACCACTAAAGATAATATTACAGGTGCGACTACCTTTTTTACACTACAAAGTCGCAAAATATGGCCCTTTTTGGAGACAATTGACATTGAAGCGAAAATATGCGGAACTTCGCGTGCTGTTGGTACACGTACCACGCAAACTAAGAACTTCTACTTCGTTTATTGTTTTGTGTGTGTCACCATATATCAAAGATCTGGAACCTATAAATATGGAACCGGCATGATAATTGTTTAAGAATATTATGATTATTTTTATTTACTTTTGAATTTAACAAGACAGTTTAACAACTATTATCTAAATGTATCTCTACGTGAACGTTTATTAAAACAAATGCTGTACATAATTATGATATACAAATGGCATGACAAAACCACATTAAAACTTTAAACATTTTTGCTGCATTTAGTTAAGTGTAACCTGTGAAGTTTAACCCAATAAAATTTACAAGGTTCACTGCCGTTAACTACACCAAGAATAATCTATTTGCTAAAGAAAATTAGGAAGAAAAAGAGAAGTTTATTAAAGTTGTTTATTTTTATGGATTCAAACAACGGTTAAGCCAAAATATGTCTGAACCTTTTTCTTTTTACTTTCACGAATTATTTATTTAAAGAACCTAAAACGAAAATTAAATTTATGTTTGATTTTAATTAACCTAAAACATTGAAGTGGTTGTTTTTGCATGAAATCCCTGCATTACCTACAGTTATTTTTATTCATTGAAAAACAGTTTAAAGAAATGGCTAGGTAGCACGAGATCGCATGCTAAAACTGCAAGCAATTTCCTGTCCTGCCTCATTTATGCTATAATTATATCTAGTTTATTTGACCTCACATCTAAAATATATTTGAAATTGATGACAATCTAGACCTAGGTGAATTATAAAAAACATTTTAAGCTATTTATTTTATTGCAATAACATGTATTACTAGTGAAAATTGGAACACGAAGACAATTAAGGTATGATGGATGATGATGTATATAATATCCATGTCATCTAATTAATTACGAAGATCAACAAACGAATTAATGAATGAACATGAACTACATTTGAATTTTTAATATGAATATGAAAGCTGCTTTCATTTATTTCTTTATCTCAAGGTTTAAATGAAATGGTACACTAAAATGTAGCGAAAAGGAAGAAATTTAAAAAAACAGGTTATTTCTACATTTTACTTTTTTTTATGATGCATGTCTTACGCCTACTGTTAAACTGCCTCTGTCGCCGAACGGTTCCCATACCGGACTGCCACGCAGAGGTCCCAGGTTCGATTCCCGGGCCGGGAGAAATGTTTGTATGGCTTACATTTATTTCTGAGTTTGGGTGTAATTTGTGGTTTTCTATATGTGTGTCCATGGCACCCGCGACACAGGTTTTCCCTAGTGCGGGGCTATGTTGAGTGTGTGCGTTATGTATTTATTTATTTATTATTAAACCACACGCCTGTCCATAACAGTTTCACTCAGAGCTTTAAATCGCAAAGATCTGAAGGATACAGCCACTGCGCCTGTCACCTTGAGACATAAATTGAAACCAAACACAATCATCTGCCCTGGACTAACTCTTTCACGAGGGAAACTCTTACTTACGCAGATACGGTAAAACATTCACTCCGACAAGATTTTTGGGGAATTGTTCCCAGGAGAGGCGGAGGTAGCTATCACCTAGTCTCTGGCGTCTTCAACAATGGGAACTGAAAACTCCTTAATGAGGAGTTCCATTTATGGTTCCGCGGAAACCATGGCACCGCAAAAAGCACAAAGCACCAACAGAGTTTAGCATATTTGAGCCTTTATCGGTTCTCGGGTGTTCTGGCGGAGATCGCTACTTTCTATCATTGCTAAACTTATGAGCACAAACACAACACTTGAAATATTTATCGATTTCTGTTCCGCTATGAATTAAAAATGGAACTAAATCTACTTCCATTTTTAATTACGTTACTTCACATCATAATTTAAGTTACTCCTTGATTTTCCCACCCTCTCTCCGCATAAAATAAATAATACAGGCGCAACTACAGTCACAGATACTACCACCAAAAATATACCCGTTACTTTTTTAGCCTCTCGATTAGGCATCCTCAGGGGTTGTTGATAGTTCGCGCACGGCCGAAGAATGAACTCGCTCTTTTTTTCTGCAGGTCACTGCAGTTGGCAGCTGATAGCCTTGACTGCGTCACCAGATGAACGGGCGAGCTGAAGGCTCTTAACCCATTAAAAATGAGCTTACTCAGACTGGTTGGTCATATTTATACCCCATTATCCTTAGTGTTACCGTTAACATTTGAAATTATCCGCAATAACGGTGATGACTCTACATTTTAATCCGTTACGAATTTTCTCAGAATAACATTATGGCATACAACCATTGACTTACAAATAAATGGACGACGGGTCGAATGTAAAAAACCACGAAAAAAATGTCCCAAGTCAACCTATTTAAACGTAGTGACATGTAAAGGAATATGAAAAAGCTAAAACGTTGAAGTTAAATTGTAATGTCATCGCAGTACTGTCTAATTTTGCTTGCTTCGCTGTCAGTCGAACAAACGAAGACTAAAGCGTGAATGACGCTCTGTATAAGATTTTAACGCCCTATAAGTTCGGACACTTTTTAGCGCGGACCCGACGTCCATATAATTGTAAGTCAATGCATACAACAACTATATTTCGTTCCCAGTTTCTGTCTTCAATGTGATCGTAATTAAAATTGAAGATAATTGTGAGTACTTACCCTAACATGTCCATATTTGATAGTGAAGTAAACAATGAACGGCAAACAGGAGATGACCAGGCATGCAAGGGCGAAGATGGTCGTTCGAACTACCCAGTTAAGGGCAGCCACACACGGTGACCCGTCCACGCAGGCCTCGCACCCTTCTGCGCAGGGCAGGCACTCGAAGGCTAACGTTATGGAGTAGAGATTCTTTTGGTTCTGTTGGAGATAAATAATGGTGGAAAAAAAAATAGCATATAGCAATAAATGTGAATACTTATGGTCGTGGATCGATGACATGGTGAAGTGCAAGGACAGTCATAGTGGCTGTCTTTTGAGGGAACTCTGTGTTCAGCAGTGGCCATCTTCCGGTTGAAGTGTTGAAGTATACTCCATTTTAATCCATTTTCAATAAAATGTAAACAAACAAGTCACTGATCCGACCATACACGGTTTAGTGATGTCAATTGTAATAATTTTGCAATCCCTACATAACCTTTAAAAGCATATTTGAAATTTCCGAAATCTTAATTCTAAGTCCTCCTTCAAATCATTACACTTGAGATACTCGTACGATTGCGATTGAAATATTCGATTAACTAATCGATTATAAAAACTTTAATTGAACGAACAGAATGTTTTTTTCGTACAGCACTATGCAACTATAGACAAGTCAGAGATGTATAGATGAAAAATAACCTCATTTTTTAATTACCGTGTTTGAAATACAATTTTATGACGCTTTTCAAATAAATATTGTTGGAAATAGTGATGAGATATTAAGTCGAAATCTTGGAAATATTGATTGATTGCTTTAGAATTTTAACCAAACAGTTTTATTTACTTTTTGTTGAAAATGGATTAGAACCATTAGAACCATAAAGGATTAATAACTAAGTATCTAATAACTGTAACTGTAACTTTGCTGACCAAACGGTCAGCATTGTAGAAGAAAGTTTTCCAAATTACGTCTAGTACGTTTCTAAATTTGAACACCATGAATACCAGTGCGCTAGCTACTCGACCACAGAGGTAGGGGAATTTCACTGCACTAATCCTGATAGGTCAAGGAAATTTCATTTAAGACCACGTAATGGGCGTCGTTAGGTGTCACGTTATTATTAATTATATCTTTCTTCGTAACAGGTAAATAATAAAAAATGACGTTGTAGAACGAAAAAAGGAAGCCGAGACAGACGTGGCGCTTTTACGGTACTATCTGGAGAAAGTACCTTCTATTTTATACGAAAGACATTTATCGCTGCAGAAAATGTTAAATCAGAACTAAAAAATCACAGAACAAAATACTCTCAATACACGTCGTTGAGTCTTTGTATATCTATCACGATATGGTACAGCTATTAAACATTTACATGTCGCCACAGGAATTAGGACTATCGACCTTATCACCGCCGACAGAGATAACAATATAACACAATTATGTCCGTAAGTATAAGTAAGTCAACCTCTATAACAATACTTACTAATAAAAATTTTTCATACTCTTCTTCAATGTCGCTACCGTTGTAGTATCGGTTGTCGGCTGTAGTGTTGGGGAAGTAGAAACCTCGCTTGCAGAGGCATCTATACGAACCTCGGCGGAAACCCAGACCAGGCACTGGAACGCACTATGTGACAAAGAAAAAAAGAAATTTACTTCCTTACATTGTCGTCAGAGTACGTTTATGAAAATGTAATTTGTATTAAGAAGGTCGTCCCAAATTCAATTAAGATACGACGCATTTATAATAAGATTTTGGTTCATATTCTAAGGTTTAACACTGTAGTAAAACGGTCATTTACAGGTGCGCCGTGTTCATGAAGCCGTGATCCTGGGACCTGTAAGGCTAAGAACTCACGGAGCGGAGTTCACCCGCGCCCGCCACGATTGCCGCGGTTCCAGATTCGCATTATGTATGTAAAATTTAGTAGCACATTTCACGACGTGTTTTTAAGGCTGTTTCACGTTACATCATGCCGGATCCGGGCCATTAGAGTGCCGTGTCGTTTCCACCGCGCGCCGGCCGGGTTTTTTTTTGTTATTTTACATTTTTCTCTTAAGTGATAGGGTTGTGGTATTAATGCACTTTTCACAACTTAATTTGGCAGCTATTGCAATAGCTCTTGATAACGAAGTATTGGAAACACAAATTTAAACTAGAAAAAGAAGATGGTGTGATACATCCTGGCTGGAGGAAACGAGAATCCGAAGGAGAATTTGCCATGCTCTGCAAAGATATAATAGATGATAAGAGCATTTTGCGCTTGCGCTGTCCATAGTGTAGTAGCAGTCCTACTATACTGTACCTTCCGGGTGCCCGATGAATGCATTCATATTACGACGTGCCGCGATGGGGCCTGGTTGGAACCGGGAAAAAATACTCGATGCCGTGCCCCGACCTTGCCTTGGCCGTGACACGGACTCAGTCCTATCTAACATGAATATCATACAAAAGCATATATAGATGTTTGACCGTGACACGGCTGGCGCATGGCCGGCCAGAGCACGAGCCGGCACGATGTAACATGCATCAGCCTTTACGCCCGTGACAGGCGGACGGTTGCTCGCGGTGGCCGCAGCGTCTTCGGGGTAATAGTAGAACCGATCATGCCCGATCGTAAATAGCTGCGCGGTTTGCGACTATCTAATAAACAAATAATAAACATGTCTAAAACATCACATACGTTGCTCTGAACCCAAAGTAAGTAGCTAAAGCACTTGTGTTATGGAAATTGGAAAAAACGACGGTACCACACACAAACACCGAGACCCGACACAATATAGAAAAGTTACTTTTCTACACTGACCCGGCCGGGGATCGAACCCTGGATATCAGAGACGGCGACACCATGAAAACCGGTGTGGAAGCCACTCAATCACGGAGGCCATCATATCTCCAAGTATGTGGTCTGTTTCCCAACCGCAGCGGCTACGTGATCGCACAAACCTACGTTCATCGTGAGTATTGAGATAAAACAGATACCAGATAGCCGCAGCGGGCGCGGGTGAAAACCGCTCCGTGAGTCCTCAGCCTAAAGCGTCCGAAACGTTGGTTTATTTGAAAACACAAATGTACGCTAATTTAGATCTGAAAAAATACTTTCATTTCGTGTTTTAATGGCTTTAGACAAGCCACGTCATATCCCATTGTCCGCTACAGGTTTCAATTCCGGCCGCAATAATTATAATACAGCACTAAGAGCTAAAGATATTTAATTAAGCTTAGATGAACGAAATATTCGATTTCTTGCGAATTTTCTTAAATAAAAGAAAATGTTAAAGTAGTAAGCGACGGCTTTTAAATAACATCAAATAACTTTCTTGTAATATGATCGAATTCCAAAATAAAATAATACAGTGATTCTAAAATAATTTGAGTCGCAAATAATTTATTTAACAAAAGTTAAAATTAGAAATGAGACTATTTTTCCGGATTTAAATCGCGTATATTTGTTTTTTCTAATAAACCAACGCTTCGGCCCCTTTACAGGTCCCATGGTTACGGTTCATCATGATCACGGTCAACCGTGACCATGGGACCAGAAAAGGGCCCGAAGCAATTTAAATCCGGAAAAATTGTTTCATTTCCTATGTGTAACAATCGCGAAAACCTAAGAACTCGAAATGTTAAAATTACTTCGGATTATCCACCACTTAGCAATGATAAAGACGGCATTAAAGTGTAAAGACTAATGGAAAATACATGTAGAAACATTCTTAAAAAATTATGTTGAAAAGAATCGGAACATTTAGAATTATTTTTGTCGACTAAATAAATTTTTGGAACTTACGTAAAACTTTGTTTCAATGGACGCAAAATAATTTCTCATGTTAAGGCGAGTCACCGGGGGAGAAGCGGGAGATGTTATTTGTTATGCAATGCAGCAAAGTTGTTGTTTGACGCGAGCTTGCATTGAAACCTGAGAAGCAAGCGAAGGTACTTTCACAGTCTAATGACATACGGCATTTTGCTTTGGGGTAATGC